GGGGGAGAGAACAGGGGTGGGGGAGAGAGAACAGGGGTGGGGGAGAGAACAGGGGTGGGGGGGGAGGGAGAGAACAGGGGTGGGGGAGAGAAACAGGGGTGGGGGAGGGGTGGGGGAGAGAACAGGGGTGGGGGGAGAGAGAACAGGGGTGGGGGAGAGAGAACAGGGGTGGGGGAGAGAGAACAGGGGTGGGGGAGAGAGAACAGGGGTGGGGGGAGAGAACAGGGGTGGGGGAGAGAGACAGGGGTGGGGGAGAGAGAACAGGGGTGGGGGGAGAGAAACAGGGGTGGGGGAGAGAGAACAGGGGTGGGGGAGAGAGAACAGGGGTGGGGGAGAGAGAACAGGGGTGGGGGAGAGAGAACAGGGGTGGGGGAGAGAGAACAGGGGTGGGGGAGAGAGAACAGGGGTGGGGGAGAGAGAACAGGGGTGGGGGAGAGAAACAGGGGTGGGGGAGAGAGAACAGGGGTGGGGGAGAGAACAGGGGTGGGGGAGAGAACAGGGGTGGGGGAGAGAACAGGGGTGGGGGAGAGAACAGGGGTGGGGGAGAGAGAGAAGGGGTGGGGGAGGAGACAGGGGTGGGGGAGAGAACAGGGGGGGGGGGAGAGAACAGGGGTGGGGGAGAGAGAACAGGGGTGGGGGAGAGAGAGAACAGGGGTGGGGGAGAGAACAGGGGTGGGGGAGAGAACAGGGGTGGGGGAGGAGAGAACAGGGGTGGGGGGAGAGAACAGGGGTGGGGGAGAGAACAGGAGTGGGGGAGAGAGAACAGGGGTGGGGGAGAGAGAGAACAGGTGTGGGGGAGAGAGAACAGGGGTGGGGGAGGAGAACAGGGGTGGGGGAGAGAACAGGGGTGGGGGAGAGAAACAGGGGTGGGGGGAGAGAACAGGGGTGTGGGGGGAGAGAGAACAGGGGTGGGGGAGAGAGAACAGGGGTGGGGGAGAGAGAGAACAGGGGTGGGGGAGAGAGAACAGGGGTGGGGGAGAGAACAGGGGTGGGGGAGAGAAACAGGGGTGGGGGAGAGAGAACAGGGGTGGGGGAGAGAACAGGGGTGGGGGAGAGAGAACAGGGGTGGGGGAGAGAGAACAGGGGTGGGGGAGAGAGAACAGGGGTGGGGGAGAGAGAGAGAACAGGGGTGGGGGAGAGAGAACAGGGGTGGGGGAGAGAGAACAGGGGTGGGGGAGAGAGGACAGGGGTGGGGGAGAGAACAGGGGTGGGGGAGAGAGAACAGGGGTGGGGGAGAGAGAACAGGGGTGGGGGAGAGAGAGAACAGGGGTGGGGGAGAGAGAACAGGGTTGGGGAGAGAGAACAAGGGTTGGGGAGAGAGGACAGGGGTGGGGGAGAGAACAGGGGTGGGGGAGAGAACAGGGGTGGGGGAGAGAGAACAGGGGTGGGGGAGAGAGAACAGGGGTGGGGGGAGAGAACAGGGGTGGGGGGAGAGAACAGGGGTGGGGGAGGAGAGAACAGGAGTGGGGGAGAGAGAACAAGGGTGGGGGAGAGAGAACAGGGGTGGGGGAGGGAGAACACGGGGTGGGAGAACAGGGGTGGGGGAGAGAAAACAGGAGTGGGGGAGAGAGGACAGGGGTGGGGGAGAGAGAACAGGGGTGGGGGAAAGAGGACAGGGGTGGGGGAGAGAGAGAACAGTGGTGGGGGAGAGAGAACAGGGGTGGGGGAGAGAGAACAGGGGTGGGGGAGAGAGGACAGGGGTGGGGGAGAGAGAACAGTGGTGGGGGAGAGAGAACAGTGGTGGGGGAGAGAGAACAGGTACAAACACCCATCAGCAGATGCATGTGGTACAAACATGAAGATAACTACGACGACCACTCAATAATGATGAAGAACAAGACGAAAAGCTTAAGTGTAAGCTTATCTAGCAAGTTGGCTGCAAGTGAGTGTAACTGTGGTGCCAGAGACGGGTCTTACCTCTGGTATACGGGTCCTCCTGGCAAGGGACTCACGCCCCACAAAGGATTGATTATAGCACCTCGGCTAATCTTCAGACCCTAAGCATTTTGTGGAGACGAAGCCTAGATACTGGTTAAGATCACAAAATACATGGAATCACAGCATCTCCATAACCCTGGACAACATGGTTTCAGAACAGGGCGCTCTTGCCTGTCACAGTTGCTGGACCACTGTGACATGGCATTAGATGCCATGGAAGACAAACAAAACGCTGATGTAATTTACACAGATTTCGCAAAAGCCTTCGACAAATGTGACCATGGTGTTATTGCACACAAAATGCGTTCAAAAGGAATTACCGGAAAAATAGGCAGATGGATCTACAATTTCCTGACTAACAGAACCCTATGTGTAATAGTCAACAAAATAAAATCCGGTCCATCAACCGTGAAGAGCTCAGTCCCCCAGGGTACTGTGCTTGCTCCAGTACTTTTTCTCATCCTCATATCGGACATAGACAAGGACACAATCTATAGCACTGTATCATCCTTTGCAGATGACACTAGGATTTTTATGAGAGTAGACAACATAGAGGACACAGCAAACCTCCAATCAGATGTAAATCAGGTCTTTCAATGGGCTACAGAAAATAATATGGTATTTAATGAAGATAAGTTCCAGCTCATGCGCTACGGAAAAAATGAAAATATAAAAACAGAAACCACGTACAAAACGCAGTCAAATCATAACATAGAACGAAAAAGCAATGTAAAGGATTTGGGTGTACTCATGTCGGAAGACCTTACCTTTAAAGAACACAATAAAGTAGCCGTCACAACTGCAAGAAAAATGACAGGTTGGATAACAAGAACCTTTCACACTAGAGATGCTATACCGATGATGATACTTTTCAAGACGCTAGTGCTCTCTAGAGTGGAGTACTGCTGCACAATGACAGCCCCTTTCAAAGCTGGAGAAATTGCTGACCTGGAGAGCGTGCAGAGATCCTTTACTGCTAGAATCCACTCAGTAAAACATCTAAACTATTGGGACCGACTAAAGAGCCTAAATCTGTATTCTCTTGAGCGCAGGCGGGAGAGATACATAATAATTTACACGTGGAAAATATTAGAGGGGCTGGTCCCAAACCTGCACACAGAAATAACATCACATGAGACCAGAAGGCATGGCAGGATGTGCAGAATACCCCCGTTGAAAAGCAGAGGTGCAACAGGTACTCTGAGAGAGAACTCTATCAACATCAGAGGCCCGAGACTGTTCAACACGCTTCCACTACACATAAGGGGCATAACTGGCCGACCCCTCACAGTGTTCAAGAGAGAACTGGCCGACCCCTCACAGTGTTCAAGAGAGAACTATCAACATCAGAGGCCCGAGACTGTTCAACACGCTTCCACTACACATAAGGGGCATAACTGGCCGACCCCTCACAGTGTTCAAGAGAGAACTATCAACATCAGAGGCCCGAGACTGTTCAACACGCTTCCACTACACATAAGGGACATAACTGGCCGACCCCTCACAGTGTTCAAGAGAGAACTATCAACATCAGAGGCCCGAGACTGTTCAACACGCTTCCACTACACATAAGGGACATAACTGGCCGACCCCTCACAGTGTTCAAGAGAGAACTATCAACATCAGAGGCCCGAGACTGTTCAACACGCTTCCACTACACATAAGGGACATAACTGGCCGACCCCTCACAGTGTTCAAGAGAGAACTATCAACATCAGAGGCCCGAGACTGTTCAACACGCTTCCACTACACATAAGGGACATAACTGGCCGACCCCTCACAGTGTTCAAGAGAGAACTCAGAGGCCCGAGACTGTTCAACACGCTTCCACTACACATAAGGGACATAACTGGCCGACCCCTCACAGTGTTCAAGAGAGAACTATCAACATCAGAGGCCCGAGACTGTTCAACACGCTTCCACTACACATAAGGGACATAACTGGCCGACCACTCGCAGTGTTCAAGAAAGAACTTGAAAAAACACCTCCAAAGAATACCTGATGAACCAGGCTGTGACTCATACGTCAGGCTGCGAGCAGCTGCGTTCAACAGCCTGGTAGACCAGTCCAGCAACGAAGAGGTCTGGTTGAGGACCGAGCCGCGGGCACGCAAATCCCCGAATCATCGCAAGGTAACCTCAAGGTAAGGTCTACCTCATGGTTGATGGTCTACCTCATGGTTGATGGTCTACCTCATGGTTGATGGTCTACCTCATGGTTGATGGTCTACCTCATGGTTGATGGTCTACCTCATGGTTGATGGTCTACCTCATGGTTGATGGTCTACCTCATGGTTGATGGTCTACCTCACTACCTCATGGTTGATGGTCTACCTCATGGTTGATGGTCTACCTCATGGATGATGGTCTACCTCACTACATCATGGTTAATGGTCTACCTCATGGTTGATGGTCTACCTCACTACCTCATGGTTGATGGTCTACCCCACGGTTGATGGTCTACCTCATGGTTGATGGTCTACCTCATGGTTAATGGTCTACCTCATGGCTGATGGTCTACCTCACTACCTCATGGTTGATGGTCTACCTCACTACCTCATGGTTGATGGTCTACCTCATGGTTGATGGTCTACCTCACTACCTCATGGTTGATGGTCTACCTCACTACCTCATGGTTGATGGTCTACCTCACTACCTCATGGTTGATGGTCTACCTCATGGTTGATGGTCTACCTCACTACCTCATGGTTGATGGTCTACCTCACTACCTCATGGTTGATGGTCTACCTCATGGTTGATGGTCTACCTCATGGTTAATGGTCTACCTCATGGTTGATGGTCTACCTCACGGTTGATGGTCTACCTCATGGTTGATGGTCTACCTCATGGTTGATGGTCTACCTCACTACCTCATGGTTGATGGTCTACCTCACTACCTCATGGTTGATGGTCTACCTCACTACCTCATGGTTGATGGTCTACCTCATGGTTGATGGTCTACCTCACTACCTCATGGTTGATGGTCTACCTCACTACCTCATGGTTGATGGTCTACCCCACTACCTCATGGTTGATGGTCTACCTCATGGTTGATGGTCTACCTCATGGTTAATGGTCTACCTCATGGTTGATGGTCTACCTCATGGTTGATGGTCTACCTCATGGTTGATGGTCTACCTCACTACCTCATGGTTGATGGTCTACCTCACTACCTCATGGTTGATGGTCTACCTCACTACCTCATGGTTGATGGTCTACCTCACTACCTCATGGTTGATGGTCTACCTCACTACCTCATGGTTGATGGTCTACCTCACTACCTCATGGTTGATGGTCTACCTCACTACCTCATGGTTGATGGTCTACCTCACTACCTCATGGTTGATGGTCTACCTCACTACCTCATGGTTGATGGTCTACCTCATGGTTGATGGTCTACCTCATGGTTGATGGTCTACCTCATGGTTGATGGTCTACCTCATGGTTGATGGTTACCCCACGCAACAGGCTTTGATTTTTTTTTTTGTTGCCACCGGAGGCGGCTAGTTTATTGTGCACCCCATACTCATCCTGTGAGCGGTAGCGCAAAAAGCATTACAGAGGGCACAAAAGGTCTTTATGAGACCTCATCTTAGATTATTACATAAAAAATTTCTTCAATCCTTCACACCTTATAGATACAATGTCAGCTAGTTACAGAGAAAGTGCTATTACAAGAGCTACATATTTACAGTAATTCATCATACATTAATGGTAGGTCTTATCGCTAATACATAATAGTTTGACCAATGGGGATATTACAGAGTCATAGGGGAGCTTCTGTTTATTATTAGTCTTCACAATACATTACTTGTTTCTGAATCTCATATGTCGTTTATCTACTGGAAGCGAAATGTGGGTACAGTGCAAGGATTTCAGGTAATTTATCCATGGTAATAAGATAGGTTGCCATATCATACAGAGTGAGCTTAGATTTATCTCTAAATGGCTCAATTTTACTACAATCCAAGATATAGTGTTCGAGTGTGTGTCCCTGTCTTTGTCCACACACTTTACACTTTACTTCATTGTTACGGACCCGAGCCCGACGTCCGAGCACGGAGCAGTGACGACCGCGCCATCTGTGGGTCAGCTCCCGAAACCCCCTCCAAATGGCCGCCACCATCTAGTGAGGACGAGATATACTGGCTACAAGGGCTAGTTTCCCGTCCTAATCAGCTCATAACACAGCCGCTGCTGACCTCTGGTGAGGCGGCGCCTAGACAGCAACGCCATCTATGGAATGGATAGGTAGGCGTTTGGGTCTGAGCCGGTAAGTGACGTGCCCTAGAGTGTCCCTCGTACTGATGACGTGTCTGATTACAGAGTCAACCTGGGACTGCTGTAACGAACGTTGGATCAGTCTACCCAAGGCAGTCGTCTCGTCTCCAAGTGTTTGCTGCAGCAGCTGTGAGTCGCCCCCGGATGAACACTGTGGTGTTAAGCTGCCTGTGAAGTGGCAGTTGAGGGATTGTCATACCCGGGACTGACTGGTGGAGACGCTTAACCACTGGGGAGTTGTGGCAAGGAGAGTGATCTGTGGGATCACACGAGGCTCCTGACTAGGGATCGCTACCCTAGTATCGGTCGTGGAGTGGCCTAACCAGCGCTGCTGTTTGGAACCTGCCAGCTACCGGCTGGACTTGTGGTTGATGGCCTCCACGACGGTGCCCCCAGTGGAACTGCGATTTGGCTGCCCCGTGGCCAGGGTAGACTCAAGAGGATCGAAGAATTCATAGTGAGGCCACAAGAGCATCAAGAGCTTAGCATCGTGAGCACCGTGAAAGTCCAGAGTCTTCAGAGGAAGACTACGTTGTGTATTCTAGTGTTTATACCCCCCCCCCCCTGTAATCGTTTATATAGTATTTTTGGTGATGGTAATAATTATATTATTAAGTTTTTGACTTTATTTCCCTTCCCTCTTTAATTTACTTGCATTACGGATCACATCCCTTGAAAGCCACTACTGGCTTGGGGCAGGATACCCTTCCTCTAACAACATCAGAGTAAGAACCCGGTTGCGACCCGAGAGGGCCGTAACATTCATCTAGATCCCTATACAAGCCGAACGGCTCAACTAGGGTTCATGGTTGATGACTTAGTCAGCCATCTTTTGACCTTGTTAGTCAAATTTCCTCTTGAACACCCCCTAGAGTTCACAGATGAAATTGACATTTTGGGAATGAAGTTCGACTCTTCAATGACAATGAAGAGCCACGTGCTTAACCTAGCCCAAAAGGCAGCCAGGAAACTTACAGCTCTACGGCGCATCTCACACCTTCTTGACAGCAAGGGCTGCAAAACTTTATATGAAGCACAAGTTCGCTCTCATCTAGAGTATGTATCTCTTTCCTGGATCGCCTGCCCCCCCCCCCCCCCATCATTCATCAGACTGTTGGACAAAGTGGAGAGAGACGGGCAAGAAGGCTCATCTCTAGTCTTGACCAAGTCTGGTGGGAACGGTCTGAACATCAGAGCCTGCAACACCGTCGTGACGTTGGTGGTCTTACTGTTATGTACAAGGCCAACATCCTCAAAGTTCCGCACCTGGCCCAACTCCGTGGACTACCAGTAGTTGCCACCCGTAGCACTAGGCTCTCAACCTTCAACAGTCTCATGCTGGAAGTGCCTTTCTCAAGAACATCACTCCATCAGCGATCATTCACTCCTAGGCTGACTCGCATCTGGAACTTGTTCGCTCAACAGGTTGATACACGGGAGATCAGGTCAACTGATCACATGAAGGCTCTGGCACACAGTTGGCTACAGGCTCATCCTCTTCCTTATATGATTATTCATTAACAACATTAGGTAACAAAGTCTATTGCTACTGATACATATTAACAAGCTCATGCAATAAATGGGCCTCTAGGAGTAGGTTTCAACTGAGCTGAGGAAGGAGAACAGATCTTGCTTGCAGTTTTACCAGGTTCCTTATATGATAGTTTCTAATGTGATAGTTTCAAAGAACATTCTCATGAAATTAATGAGTCTCTATGAGCAGGCTCAGGTCAGCTCAGATGAGCTGAGGTTGGAAAACAGCTCTTGCTTGCAGTATCACTAGGTACGTCATCTGACAGCCCTTATGAACCCTAGTCTTAGTTACAAAAAAAAGAGAAAGAGAGAGAGAGAGAGAGAGAGAGAGAGAGAGAGAGAGAGAGAGAGAGAGAGAGAGAGAGAGAGAGAGAGAGAGAGAGAGAGAGAGAGAGAGAGAGAGAGAGAGCTCCCTCACCCCAGCCCTCATAACACCACCCACATTCCTTTTCCATTAGTAAAATTAACCACCACATTTATACGATTAACTACCACATTAGCACGACTAACGAGCACGTTAACAGAGGCAACTGCTTCGTTAAGCTTAACATTAGAATGATAGAGATAATATTTACACATATATTAGTCGGTTACACTTCAGGCGAATATTAACAAGGTATGATTAATTATTGCAGTTAATTCGAGAACTATAACAATTATAGAGAGTATCAGTACAGTTATGGAACTATTAGGGGTATTGAGAGTATCAGTACGGTTAACGGAATATAAGGATTATGGAGAGTTAACGGAATATAAGGATTATGGAGAGTTAACGGTATATAAGGATTATGGAGAGTTAACGGTATACAAGGATTATGGAGAGTTAACGGTATATAAGGATTATGGAGAGTTAACGGTATATACGGATTATGGAGAGTTAACGGTATATAAGGATTATGGAGAGTTAACGGTATATACGGATTATGGAGAGTAAACGGTATATAAGGATTATGGAGAGTTAACGGAATATAAGGATTATGGAGAGTTAACGGTATATAAGGATTATGGAGAGTTAACGGTATATACGGATTATGGAGAGTTAACGGTATATAAGGATTATGGAGAGTTAACGGTATATAAGGATTATGGAGAGTTAACGGTATATACTGATTATGGAGAGTTAACGGTATATAAGGATTATGGAGAGTTAACGGTATATACGGATTATGGAGAGTTAACGGTATATAAGGATTATGGAGAGTTAACGGAATATAAGGATTATGGAGAGTTAACGGAATATAAGGATTATGGAGAGTTAACGGAATATAAGGATTATGGGGAGTTAACAGAATATAAGGATTATGGAGAGTTAACGAACTATAAGGATTATGGAGAGTTAACGAACTATAAGGATTATGGAGAGTTAACGAACTATAAGGATTAATGAGAGAGTACGGTTAACGATGCATTATTGTGGTTGATGACAATTTTGCCGAGCGTTAACAAGACAAATCGGTTTAAAAATACCCATTATAGTGAGAGTTGTGTTCGGATAACCGTGTTCGGAGACCGTGTTCTTACGGCTACTATTACAATGCCATTATTAAAGATATTCGGTTAACCGGACTGAGATGGAAAGAGTCCGGATAAGGTTATAAAGCCCAGGAAATAACACCGTTTATGGCTTTCAATGGCCGTTGATCCTGATAATGACCGGAAGACAACGTTGGTCTCAGAGAACAGCTTGGTGTTCAAGGGAGACAACGTTGGTCTCAGAGAACAGCTTGGTGTTCAGGGGAGACAACGTTGGTCTCAGAGAACAGCTTGGTGTTCAGGGGAGACAACGTTGGTCACAGAGAACAGCTTGGTGTTCAAGGGAGACAACGTTGGTCTCAGAGAACAGCTTGGTGTTCAAGGGAGACAACGTTGGTCTCAGAGAACAGCTTGGTGTTCAGGGGAGACAACGTTGGTCTCAGAGAACAGCTTGGTGTTCAGGGGAGACAACGTTGGTCTCAGAGAACAGCTTGGTGTTCAGGGGAGACAACGTTGGTCACAGAGAACAGCTTGGTGTTCAAGGGAGACAACGTTGGTCTCAGAGAACAGCTTGGTGTTCAAGGGAGACAACGTTGGTCACAGAGAACAGCTCGGTGTTCAAGGGAGACAACTTCAATTTTGATGAGAATAACCCAACCTCTGCGTGTACTCACATAGTTGTGCTTGCGGAGGTTGAGCTTTGTCTCTTTGGTCCCGCCTCTCAACTGTCAATCAACTGATACCTGCTTGATGGGGTTCTGGGAGTTCTTCTACTCCCCAACTTGTGACAGTTTGGTCCACCAGACTGTTGCTTGGAGCGGCCCGCAGGCCCACACACCCACCACAGCCCGGTTGTGGGTATGACACCAGACAAATGTGACCATGGTGTTATTGCACATAAAATGCGTTCAAAATGAATTACCGGAAAAATAGGCAGATGGATCTACAATTTCCTGACTAGCAGAACCCAATGTGTAATAGTCAACAAAATAAAATCCGGTCCATCAACCGTAAAGAGCTCAGTCCCCCAGGGTACTGTGCTTGCTCCAGTACTTTTTCTCATCCTCATATCGGACATAGACAAGAACACAACCTATAGTACTGTATCATCCTTCGCAGATGACACTAGGATCTTTATGAGAGTAGACAACACAGAGGACACGGCAAACCTCCAATCAGATGTAAATCAGGTCTTTCTATGGGCTACAGAAAATAATATGGTGTTTAACGAAGATAAGTTCCAGCTCATGCGCTACGCAGTCAAATCATACCGTAGAACGAAAAGGCAATGTAAAGGATCTGGGTGTACTCATGTCGGAAGACCTTACCTTTAAAGAACACAATAAAGTAGCCGTCACAACTGCAAAAAAAAAAATGACAGTTTGGATAACAAGAACCTTTCACACCAGAGATGCTATACCGATGATGATACTCTCCAAGACGCTAGTGCTCTCTAGAGTGGAGTACTGCTGCACAATGACAGCCCCTTTCAAAGCTGGAGAAATTGCTGACCTGGAGAGCGTGCAGAGATCCTTTACTGCTAGAATCCACTCAGTAAAACATCTTCACTATTGGGATCAACTAAAATGCCTAAATCTGTATTCTCTTGAGCGCAGGCGGGAGAGATACATAATAATTTACACGTGGAAAATAGTAGAGGGGCTGGTCCCAAACCTGCACACAGAAATAACATCACATGAGACCAGAAGGCATGGCAGGATGTGCAGAATACCCCCTGTTAAAGAGCAGAGGTGCAACAAGTATTCTGAGAGAGAACTCTATGAACATCAGAAGCCCGAGACTGTTCAACACGCTTCCACTACACATAAGGGAAATAACTGGCCGACCCCTCACAGTGTTCAAGAGAGAACTATCAACATCAGAGGCCCGAGACTGTTCAACACGCTTCCACTACACATAAGGGGCATAACTGGCCGACCCCTCACAGTGTTCAAGAGAGAACTATCAACATCAGAGGCCCGAGACTGTTCAACACGCTTCCACTACACATAAGGGACATAACTGGCCGACCCCTCACAGTGTTCAAGAGAGAACTATCAACATCAAAGGCCCGAGACTGTTCAACACGCTTCCACTACACATAAGGGACATAACTGGCCGACCCCTCACAGTGTTCAAGAGAGAACTGGATAAGCACCTCCAAAGGATACCTGATCAACCAGGCTGTGACTCATATGTTAGGCTGCGAGGAGCCGCGTACGACAGTCTAGTTGACCAGTCCAGCAATGAGGAGGCCCGGTCGACGACCGGGCCGCGTGGTCGCTAAGCCCCGGAATCACCTCAAGGTAACCTCAAGGTAAGGTAAGTTGGGTTGAGTCGGTGTTCTCCCTGTGTCTGTGAACACTTCACCAGACACAGTCGGTGTTCTACCTGTGTCTGTGAACACTTCACCAGACACAGTCGGTGTTCTCCCTGTGTCTGTGAACACTTCACCAGACACAGTCGGTGTTCTACCTGTGTCTGTGAACACTTCACCAGACACAGTCGGTGTTCTACCTGTGTCTGTGAACACTTCACCAGACACAGTCGGTGTTCTACCTGTGTCTGTGAACACTACACCAGACACAGTCGGTGTTCTACCTGTGTCTGTGAACACTTCACCAGACACAGTCGGTGTTCTACCTGTGTCTGTGAACACTTCACCAGACACAGTCGGTGTTCTACCTGTGTCTGTGAACACTACACCAGACACAGTCGGTGTTCTACCTGTGTCTGTGAACACTACACCAGACACAGTCGGTGTTCTACCTCTGTGTCTGTGAACACTACACCAGACACAGTCGGTGTTCTACCTGTGTCTGTGAACACTTCACCAGACACAGTCGGTGTTCTACCTGTGTCTGTGAACACTACACCAGACACAGTCGGTGTTCTACCTCTGTGTCTGTGAACACTACACCAGACACAGTCGGTGTTCTACCTGTGTCTGTGAACACTACACCTGACACATGGAGTCGCTGTTTGAGTCCTCTGATATTAAGGTTTTCAACTGGGTGTAATAGGCAGCCCTCATTAGGTAGCGTCATTTTGCCATTGTTAATTTAAGCACCAAGATGGCCGCCGATCCTGCCTGATAACTTTAGCCAGTGCCATCCGCCCTAAGAGTAATCATTTAATATGGGTCTGACCTGTAATTATGGGCAATAGAAGATGATATGAGATGGGCGGAGGTGTGCAGGAGCCAGGTGGATCACAGATGGCTTGATCATACCATCTGCCACTCTCGGTCATTGTTGTAGAGGCACTAGAGGCATCAGGTGTTAAGGGCAGTTTCATCCAGGTTTACCATTGTATAATGTTTAATGTAAAACTATGTGCTGTGGTGAATGTTATGTGCTGTGGTGAATGTTATGTTCTGTGGTGAATGTTATGTGCTGTGGTGAATGTTATGTTCTGTGGTGAATGTTATGTGCTGTGGTGAATGTTATGTTCTGTGGTGAATGTTATGTGCTGTGGTGAATGTTATGTTCTGTGGTGAATGTTATGTGCTGTGGTGAATGTTATGTTCTGTGGTGAATGTTATGTGCTGTGGTGAATGTTATGTTCTGTGGTGAATGTTATGTGCTGTGGTGAATGTTATGTTCTGTGGTGAATGTTATGTGCTGTGGTGAATGTTATGTTCTGTGGTGAATGTTATGTGCTGTGGTGAATGTTATGTTCTGTGGTGAATGTTACGAGCTGTAGCCACGGTTTAATGTATACTGAAGGTGACAAGTTGTGAGCAATTATACGTTTTATAATTTTTGGAATAAATTCAATAAATATAACATAATATATTTGATATATTTCTTAACATTACTTCCGTTAAGAATCTTTTTGACATGTGTATTTGTGTTGAGGTAATTAATATTGTCACAGTCTTGATGCTCTCTCCTCAGTGTCATTCATCTCCTTCTATTGACGTGTGGATCCTCCTTAACAGCTGCTCCATTATCTATCTCACTTTCTCTACCCGTCTCTCTCTCTCTCTCTCTCTCTCTCTCTCTCTCTTTCTCTCTCTCTCTCTCTCTCTCTCTCTCTCTCTCTCTCTTTAAGAGGACCTCACTCTCGAATTCTTTACATCAGAATACAGAAGAGTGAATGGCGGGAGCTCCGGAGGGTTGACGTGGGGAGCAGGGAAACCTTGGGAGGTCGCGCTGAGTGGAGAGCGCCGCGGCAACCTCTGAACATGCCATCTTACATCCATTACATCCATGAACATCTTACATCCATTACATCCATGAACATCTTACATCCATTACATCCATGAACATCTTACATCCATTCACGAAAAGCTTGGCATTCTCAGTGCCCGCTTACTTGTAGTTGGTCTGCCTGTCGCTAGAGTGCAGTACTGCTTCTCATTCCACCACCTTTAGTGAAAATGTTCTCCCTTGCACCATTTTACCAGTAACAGTCACCCTGCTGGATGGGGTTCTGGGAGTAGTTCTACTCCACAAGCCCGGCCCGAGGCCAGGATTGACTTATGAGGGTTTGGTCCACCAGGCTGTTGCTTGAAGCGGCCCGCAGGCCCACATACCCACCACAGCCCGGTTGGTCCGGCACTTCTTGAAGAAAACTATCTAGTTTTCTCTTGAAGATGTCCATGGTTGTTCCGGCAATATTTCTTATGCTCGCTGGGAGGACGTTGAACAATCGCGGACCTCTGATGTTAATACAGTGTTCTCTGATTGTGCCCATGGCACCTCTGCTCTTCACTGGTTCTATTCTGCATTTTCTTCCAAATCGTTTACTCCAGTATGTTGTTATTTTACTGTGTAGATTAGGGACCTGTCCCGCCAGTATTTTCCATGTGTATATTATTTGGTATCTCTCTCATCTCCTTAATAGAGAGTACATTTGGAGAGCTTTGAGACGATCCCAATAATTTAGGTACTTTATCGCGTCTAT